CCTTAACAGATTGGTGATCCTGGAAATATTTCGAACAGTAAAGAATGTGCTTTATAGAGAGATGAGAGAGGTTGGGGATTGGCCAGTGTACGGGTTCCAGGTGGAGACGGGAAAAGGATGGGGACAAGTGAGCACGCGCAAGAAGGGGCGGTCCTCTCCATGCCCTGGGCGAGGGAGCAAGCGGTGCAATGGTGTGCAGGGGGAGCGCGACGGTCCATCGGGAACACAGCGGCGCGAAGGAAGCACAAGAAACCGCCCGATCAATACTAATAAATGCGGTGGGCAGCGGAAGTGTGGTTCGGGTAAACCATCGAACTAGTCCGGTGAAAAGTTGTAATATAACGCTGATTTTTGTTGTTTGACTTCTGAATTAGTACAGCTTCTCTGTTAGTGAGCTTTGTCGGGCTATCAACATACAAGCCCTGCCTGTGTGTGACAAAATTCGTGGTCACGAATGTTAAAACTGTCGATCGAGGGGACCGACGCCAGCCAAACAAAAATTCCAGTGCCAGGCCCCAGGGTCTGACGCCGGCCCATCGTCGGTCCCCTTACATGGTATAACAAAACTGGTAAATTAACGGACGTTACCATTCTGACATTCTGTTTTCTGTATTACAAGAATGAGCAAGTGGTGGTACATGTGTTTTGCGATGTTTCCTTAACTGCTAACAGAACAGTTGTTCATTTTAGATATTCTGAGAGTAGTGGGAATTATAGTGCGTGTCCCTTTATAATGTTGAAAAGTAAGAGTTTTACCACTAAAAAAATTAATGCTGTCTTGCTTAGAACTAATGCGCAAAATGATAGGTGCTAGAATGGGAAATTACTTAAGAGTGTTCCACGGATAAAATTGAAAGAAGTGTTTTGGAATGATTCTTGCATTGCATTGTTACATTGTGTCGTGGAAGCTCAGGAAAAATCGAGAGCGAGTTGTTCGTCCATCTGAAGATAACCTCGCAGATTGGCTTTACTACAAGAATCTCGGTTGAGAAGTCAGTACTGGATGAAAAATGGTGGTCAGGTCCAATTCGGCTTTGGAAAAGTTGGAGAGGTGTCCTAAATAATAGGTTATACATGTTCATAATGGAAATACTAAAAGACCAAAGGAAGGATTCAGTTAAAAGCTTCATAGTTCAGTAGGAGTTAGCTAGACAGCTTTGGAGCAAATTTTCAGTTTGAAAAGCTCGGAGGAGACCTTCGTGCTCGGGCATGTACTGCAGCATTTAAACAATTAATCGATCAACCAGGGAAACCAGTTGAAATATTCAGTGGATGTGGAACGAATTTTATAATTAGTTAAGTGCCTATACGACAAAGACAACTAGTATTTTACTTGGGAAATGGAAGCATTACATTGATAATGAACTTTCTATCAATCATCATTTTGGAGGCCTAAGAGAGGCAGCTATTAAATCCATGAAGTTTCACCCGAAATGTGTTATAGGATCACTGGTTCGGAGTTAAAAAGTGTCCTGGAACTTGATATTCCCCCCATCAGTGAAGGTGGAAACAGTTATACGATTTCCCAGTCATCTTGGAAATCATGGTTCAAAGATTACTCGACTCTGTCACAAGTGCATTACAAGTGGAAAACACTCAATTACAATTTAAATGTGAATGATTTAGTGTTAATTAAGGATCAAAACATGCTGCCACTTAATTGGAACCTCCCAATCAATCAAGAAGAATTACGTTCCTGACCTAAATTGTAACCGTGCCATTTCCACTACCATAGCCAGACTAAGGACCAAAAAATTGAAAGAAATGAAGATATCCTCTGATGGCCAACAAAATTATAATAGCTGTCCTCACTGTAATGATATCAAACTTTCCCCAAACCATCTCTTCGACTGTCCTGCTATTTTGGCCAAGCTCTTCAGTATAGATATAGCTCCCTCGAACCAATTCCTCTATTCGTGGGAAATTATTCATGTTGCTGTGGCTATCCTGGATACTTTTGTTCCTATTTGGCTCCTCCGCACCAATTCCTTGGACAAGACAACAACAACAAACATGGATTCACTACTACCAACCCGAAACCAAAGCAGAAATCAAGGAATGGCCCTATTTCTCATCACATAAATCTGTAAAGAAGTTCCTGGTGCAGTCATTTGCAAGAAAGGTTCTGCTGAGTCTCTTTTGGATGAACAAGACATTATTTTTTAACACTACACACCTAGGAAAAACACCATCACCAGCCCGTCATATTTCAAATCATTTCGGTCTGCAGTCAGATCAAAACACATGAAAGATGTCATTCTGCAAGAGTTGCAACTATCACTGACCTTCACTTTGACAGGGTTGCCACTCAAACAGGAGAATGAAATTCCCTGACTTTTCCAGGTTTTTCAGGTATGTTTCGAGAAAATTCCAGTCTATCCGCGTAATGTACGTTCGCTGTGCTAAGAGGTAAATTAATTATAGTATTACTTGTACTGTGTAGCAAATTCACTTAATTATTCAATAAATCCCAGAGGACATTTATTCTTAATTATTCTTGGTACACTTTGTTTGATAATTTTGTTTACTTTTCCGCTTAAAAACTTAATAAAATTTATGATATTTACATTGGATAACAACTGTACGTTTTATTTAATTATTACTCATGATCATCCCCAGTTCAACACGAGGCTAATCCGGTTCTTATAAATCACAACACAATGCTAAAAGTTAGGTTACATTTTAGGTAAATTTAATTTGTGTGAGGTGTATTCTTAAAAGGCAGCTTAACACTTGAAACACAAATATATAATATAATAGGAGTTGTTTCTCTCCACTGAAGATTTAGAATCTGCCCAATCTGGAATAACATAAGGCTTTTTTTGCAGACATTCTGCAGCTAAACGAAAGAAAGAAATCTATTTAATGATATTTTTTTACTAAATTGAGGTATTTTATATTTATTTCGCAGCATACATAAGGAAAAAATATGTGCATTAAATTTCGTGATGTCATCATACTGCTAGAATTAATTTCAGGATTATGTCAGAGAAAATTTCGTGAAATTTGGAAATATTATTTACTAATGATACATAAATTTAGAGCGAAGAAGCAACATTAAATGATATGAATAACATAAAAATAAAGATAATTACTTAAAAATTTAATTAGAATAATCAACAATATTTTAGCAAATATAGTTATATTACATGGTTATCCTAGATGATTGATTACTATTTTTTTGTTTTACTGCAAAATGACAAGGTATTTATTAAGAAGAAGAAGAAGAAGAAAAAAAAAAAATTGCGGTAAAATCCTAGTATACGATACGGCCTTCGCATGATTTTGAAAATTGTCGCCAAGAGCAAAATGACCCGTTTACTGCTCATCATCATGTCGCCAAATCCCGCTGTAGCATACATGGAGATTATTCTGACCAAAGAACGTCTATGTAAAAAGCGGAGGGAAAATTTGCCAAGGGATTTGACAACGGAACAGCCAGAATTTCCCTCTCCGCGATGTGTACAGGAAATTGAGAAACACATATTAAGAAGAAACGTTCTTTGACAAAAAAGAAAACTACGAAAATCTGTTTTTAAATTATTGCGAAAAATCCAAGAAGAAACGTTTTATCAAAGAACGTTTTTTCTTGGATTTTTCACAATAATTTTAAAAACGGATTTTCGTAGATATTCCCCCCCCCCCTTAAAATAAGTAATCCATGAATTAATTTACTTGCGCCAAAAAAATATTTTCTTTTCTATAAAGACTTTTAAAACAATATTCATTTTATGAACTCTTGATAACGTGACCTTCGAACTTCGACACCGGTTTCGAGCTTTGGCGACAGATATATCGCGCAGGCACAGCTCTTTCCCGCTACGATGGAACCGAGCCACGTCTGTTGCAGAGAGGTTTTCCTTCTTTACAACACATATTTTTTTTATTCTAACCTTCATGGTACCGTATACTAGGATTAAACCCATTTTGTTTTATACGAGAACAGGTACTTTCTTTAGTTCATGCACTGCACATGCGATTCTCGAGGGTTACTGGAAACCAAAAGTTGCGGGAAACTTGCTTTGCCTTTCTAAAAAGACAATCAAATTGGAGCTGCGAAAATTGGCTCTATGCCAGCTGCCCGAATGACACTCATGTGATACACAATTCGCCAAAAAAGTAATCTCTTCCGATGTCGGCGCAAAACTCGCCTTTTTTGGCGGGATCGTTGTATGAAATTCCCTGACTTTTCCAGATTTTGACTAAAACGCTTAAATTCCCTGACTTTTCCCTGAATTTTTTGGTCAATTTCCGAATTCCCTGACTTTTTCCGGTTTTCCAGGTAGCGTGGCAACCCTGCTTTGATAATCTTTCACATCTGGCACAAGTGATTACCACATATCTGGACTACTCAAAGAGACAATAAGAAATTTTGTTCGAATGAAGAGGTAAAGGACGACTACAAGGAATTGTACAATTAGCTGCATACACAACCACAAGATTTTTTTTTACTAGAGGAATACGTGGATTTCCTTTGTGTTAACCATCAGGAAGACTACTTTGAAAAATGATACATTTGTATTCTACCTTTGTTCAATAAATTGCACGTAAAAAGTATTTAAGGTTTTGATTTAATTCCCCATCGAATAACACAGACTGAAATTTAAAGATAAAAATGAAAAAAATTGAGTATATATTTTAATTTCCCACCAGTGTATTTGTCTAAGCAACATTTAGCAAATGAAATTAAAACAATGATTAACAGAAAAACATTCGGTATAGAGAAGACAAAATTATTTCAAACCAAAATAAAAAATTATTCTAATTAATATTAAACAAAAGCATCTCAGGTAAAACATATAATACACAAAATTGCACCGAAAATATGTTAATTTTTAATGAAAAAAGTGCTTAAGAATTCTTAAAAATTACCATACTGTATCACAGTATTTTATTTAAATAAGTGATAAGGTTATTACCATCTAAATAAGTTAAATGCTTAATTTGGCTTATACAAAAAGAACAGCAAGCAAAGCAGATAACTAAAGCTCCAGTTGAGTTCAGGTAATAGGAGTTATATTGTGCTTAATTTTTTTCCTTTCGAATGCGACGAATTTAGCTTACCAGAGAGAAAAGAAAATCCTGTTAAGTACATGAGTCTTGTTTTTGTGTTTTTCCCATCATCTGGAGTAGCCATCAAAGCAAGCATAAATCCAATGGATCCAAGTGCACTAAGAAATCCACCCTGTAATAAAATATGAAGAAAAACTTAAAAAAAATATATTTCAATTTTTTTAACAATATAGTCCAGAACTCATAGAAATTTATCAAAATATTTGATTTCTTATTCTGACAGCACTCCCTGACTTTTACCTCCAAAGACTACTAAAAAATACCTGATGTGGACACCACATAATTTTCTTGTACAGCCTCTTAAATTATGCACATTTTTTTGCTGCACTTCCTTTAAACTTATTTCCTCAAATTTCATCAGAGGTATATAGTGCATCCATCCGTAAAGTCATGGCGCACTTTTAATTGGTCACAGGAAAGGAATAAAACAAAATAGAAATGTGAAATCTTTGCCAAACAAAAGGAAAACTCTCCAAGTTTCCATAGTATTATGTGCACACACAGGAAATGAGAAAGAGCGAACCGCGAACACAGCACCGCGAAATGAGAAAGAGCAGATCAGCCTATCTACGCCCATGCCAGTCGAGATGTGGACCGACCGTACAGAGGAAAGTTCAGTGTGTTCTGTGGCTTGCCAAATTCGACTCCATGACCAAAGTACAACGTGACAATGTGAATATTCGTCGTGTGTACAATGAACTGCATAGAAATAACATTAATCGGTGGGATAAGCAGTTGAAGGATAGCGGCAGTTTGTTGGATAAACCCCATCTTCACAGGCCATCGGTCAGTGACGAGTCTGTAGAGGCTATATGGAAGAGTTACATAAGAAGCGCTTACAAATTGCAGCTGTTGCACGATATCAAACCGACGGATTGACACAAACGATTTGCATTTGCTACAGATAGGCTTCACGAGTTTGACAATGAAAACCGATTTCTGCAGAAGATTGTGTTTAGCGATGAGGTGACATTCCCTGTTAGTGGACATGTTCATCGACATAACATCCGAATATGAAAATCTTCATGCCCACGTAGAGTACAAACGTAACAGCCCTAAAGTGAACGTGTGATGTGGCTGGATGCATGATAAAGTGACAGGACCATTTTTCTTTGCGGAGTAGACTGTGACGGCATGAATGGAGACCACATCAAACTGCACTGAGTAGGTATGAAACTTAAAGAGGTTTTCTTTTGTTTGGTGATGGTTTCACCTTTCTATCTTGTTTTGTTGCTTTCTTGTGACTGATCAAAAAGTGCACCATGACTTTACGGACGCACTATATTATATTTTTAATTCAAACAACAATTAGCAAAGTCATAAGATCTACATGAAATGATAAAATGATGAACACCAAAATGAAGAGGTATTAAAATTCCTCAAATGAAATGGAACATGCAATGAAAGACATTAAAATTACACTAAAATAAAAACCTCTTTCAGGTATGGAAATAAATTATTATTGACCTCTTCGAACGTCAACTCAAAATCTTTATGCATAAACGGTTTATAAAAAACTGACACCGGTCTATCATTTTCTGCAGAAAATTAACCATCTTTTTCATTTTTCAGAGATGCGCTACTTTTAACCCTTTAACTGCTTAAGACGTGTTTAAACGTTTTTGGAATTTCTTTAAAAATGCTTAAGACGTCTTTACACGAATTTCAAATCGCACGAAAAATGCTTAAGACGTGTATACACGAAGCCCGAATTTCGCGAAGATTGCTTAAGACGTGTTTAGACGACGCGATCTGGTCTTCCTTCCCCTACCTTTCTGCAGGCGGCTGTCAGTTGACACAAAGGTCTTAATAGGGTGTGAAGTCTCTTTGAAAAGAGCACTTTAGGAAAAAGTCCTTAGAGTGAAGTATCTTTGTCAGACAGCAGGTATGTATTATCTGTGTGTGCCGACTAAAAGTTTGCGAAAGAAGATAAATCGTTTTACAACTGTTTGCCTTGTGGTACTTTATACAAATGAAAGTCAAACAGGATCCGACGTTGTTATAGTACATTGCCGAATTTTAGTAGAAACAAGAAAAAATAAGAATTGTAACGGAGGACGCCTTTATGCCTATATGTTATAGAATCAAATATTTTATTTTTGTATTGAAAAATGATTACAATTTCTGATTCGTCAGGAAAAAATATAAAATGTTGCAACCAGCTTTCTTGTTTGCCTTCGTATTTCAAATGCGCGTTATTATAATGGTATATTCTTCTTTTTACATTCTTAAATGTTAAAACTGTGCTTTCAGCATGCCTGAGTTTTGTACTCGTATGTGTGGCTCTATGCTCCGTAGAAATGGCGAACTGACATATAAAAATTATATGAATGTTGAAAGGAAGATATTCTACTCGAAACTTCAACTAAATGGAATAAATGAATACGCCGAAGGAATTTCTAGAAATATTTGTTTTAAAAATTTTATTATTAAGATTTTAAATCCAAAATGTTTTGAAATCTAAAAAAAAAAATATGTAATCCTTGAAACATTTTTGGAAAGAAATCTATCGATATAAAATCTCTTAAAATTAATGGAGTGTAAATTAATTAAAACAGTTAGTGTACGGAAGGGTTAGATATACTGCGCACAAAAAATTACAGTCAGAAGATCAATTATTTAAAGATATAAATTAATTACATTAAAAGAATTTAAAATAAATTAACATCTGTCCAAATGTCAATGCTAACAGCAATAGCACGAATGAAAGTTATTCTTTAAATTCCGAACTTAATTCATCCGGTACGCATCCGGTACGCATCGGTACGCAATGATTGTGTCTTTGCGATTACTTTTCTTATAGATACTACAAAAGGTAAAATCGTTACGAAGTAGCGGTAAAATCGTTGAATACTAATAGTTTGAAGCGGGTTCAAATCCTGACGAATGGATTGCCTGCATACCAGTTTTAGCGAATTTTTGCTGCCCATGTTTAATGTGAATATGAGCCAATTTTAGTTAGCTTTTCATGATGACGTGCCTTGACTACGAGTCCTCGCTCGGGTTGTGTTTGGTTTGGCTTGTTAGATTATTAAGCACGTGAAGGCGATCTGTCTAAGGGGAGGTATGCTTTCGTGACAGATTTTCTAAGGGAAACAATCTCGCACTACAAAAAGTTAAAACCATAAAAACGCCCATGCAATCAGCTTGTTCACGGGGGTTTGAATGCAGGTCAAACTACCAGTATGTTAAGAGAAGCGATTTCAAGAATGTTTAATTATTTTATTTAGTTTGTCATAAGCTAAATAAAATAATTAAACATTCTTGAAATCTCTTCACATTACTGAAATGGCAATAACTTCGAATTATACTATGCTACCACTTTTCCTCTAATATGAAATTTTGAACTTTTCCGTTATCGGACAGCCCACCAGCGACTGAGCGGAGTCTAACGGAACAACTGGTGGTTCTGTCCGGGGTTCGAATCCCGGCAAACGGGCTGGTTGCCAGGATGATATTCTTAGTTTTCCATATGTGTAACATGTATGCAAGCCAATTTCCGTTAGGCAGTCCTCGAACGAAGGCATCCTTCACCTTAGGCAAATAACCATCGAGTACTTTGCCATAATCAAATAAACCTTTATCCATAACATGCTTCAAATATTTTTATGTTGAAAAGTTCATGCGCCAAAGTTGGCCCCCGTTGAATGAAATATGTTGTTTATTTTTTTTTCTTTGTTTTTTATAACAACAATGTTCTTGTTTTCAGAATCTGAATTATCAATAAAATTCTTTTAATAATATGCGATTCTATTTTGTTTTTTTGTTTAATGAAAAATTAATTTAAGCGACAAATCTCTTACATTTAGAAAAATTTTCGATTTTCGAAACGAGTTGCTGTCAAAAGCGCATCTTCTCGTTGCTGCATATATTTATTTAAAGCAAACTGCTTGGCGCGTGTGCTTTTATATTTGAAAAGATTCAGAGAATTTTCAACAGGGAAATAAAGTTATTAATTTTACTGAATTTTGTGGATTCTTTGTGTTTTGAGGTAAAAGTCAAACCATCAGATATGTGATAACCTTAAAATAAGGGTATATATAATCAGGATTTTGCGGCCAGACATTCCCAGCGAAATACATTACAAAAAATTATCTATGTAGAATTAATGTATATTCCGTTTAGTATTTTAATTTATCAGTGTTATTACACATCAGTTTATCAGTGTAAGTTATATCGAGTTTTAGTTGTGTTCGATATAAGAATTTTATTTGGTTTATATAAATCCGATTCGTTTAATAATATATTTATTAAATACTATTTATTAGGTTTCCAAATCTGTCAAACCCAATCAATGGCCTCCTGGCTAAGATATCTGATTATCGCTATTTCGACTCATATCGAACCCAAACAAACGAACTGGTTGAATTTTGTGATTTCCCCTATGTGTAACATGAACATGAGTACGTTTTACTTAGAAAGTCGTCCATGGAGACATTCATTGCCTTCGGCTGATAGATCTCGTTTCCTTTGCCATACTCAAAAAATCTAAAAATTTTTCAAAAAGACTAACAGATGCATATAACAAAATAAAATTAAGTAAATGCATATAAGGAAAAAAAAAATGAGGTAAAAACAAATTTTCAATAATTTTTCAATACAGTAGTTTTTAAATTGCTTGTTTTCAAATTTTATTTCATTTTTATGTATGTACTAATATACAGTGTATGTGTGCGAAAGTGTGCTTGTTCGGCATATCCATATATATTAATTAAATAAATCTGATTTGAAAATGCATGCACTAACGCGCTATTCTCGTAATTTGAAAAACACTAAAGTATTGTCTGAGAAAAATATTTATAAAGAAAATTAAATTTCGTCTCCTTACTCGGTGCTGTGTAAAAAATTTAAATAAGCTTATTAATTTTTTCTTCTTTATTAAAAACAAATTAGTTTCTTTTCATCTATATATGAAAAATAACAAAATCTTGCTGTCAGAATGGAAATTCTTAAAAATATAAAACTCGTTTTTTTCGAACAAAAGTTTCTGAGAAATTTCTCTAGGTCAGCAGGTAGTAACAGGACAACTGACTGCTTTGTTTGAAAAACCCGATGAAGTGGATGATTTTACCCCCAAAAGGTTTTCTTTAACAAAGCAGATGCAGTCGAAAT